ATAACCATGACACTCTCTACATCGAATTCCCTTCTTGACTTCTGGCTTATCTGTAGAGGTCCTAGGTTTTCTCTCAGAGTTTGTAGGATGTCCATTTCTCTCGATGAATTTCCCGAAATTTTTTGCTATTAAGGACATGGATTTTGTGAGCTTGACTTCAAGTGCTGACATATGACCAGTAGGCACAGATGTTGTGGTGTCCGATACAGTTTGCAGAGCAATTTTCCTTTCCTTGTCCATTCTGCTGATGTTCAACTTGTTTTCAAAAGTTTGTAGATTCCCAATCAGATCCTCAAGTCGCAATGAGTCCACATCACTTGCTTCCTCTATGGCAGTGATCTTGTACGCGAATCGGTCTGGCATGGATCTGAGTACTTTTCGTACAAGTTTAACTTCAGGATAAGTTTCACCGAGGCCGTGAGCTTCGTTTGATATGTCACATAATTTGGAGTTAAATTCGCTCACGGTCTCATTTTCTTCCATACGAAGATCTTCAAACCGGGTGGCAAGCATTTGAAGTTTGGATAGTCTGACTGAGGCAGTTCCCTCGTAGGCTGTTTGGAGTTTCTCCCATGCTTCTTTAGCACATTCACACGCCGAGACAATCTTGAATTGATTGATATCAATTCCATTGAATATAGCATTCAAGGCCTTGGAATTCATATTTGCTGCAATTTGTTCGGCTTTGCTCCAGTCTTTCTCATGCTTCTCAGTTTCAATCCCTTTCTCATCTGTGGCAACAGGTCGCTTCCATCCAGTTAACACTGTTCGCCATGCATCTTCATCCATTGACTTTATGAACATCTTCATTTTAGTCTTCCAATAGGAGTAGTTGGTTCCCGTGAGCAGTGGTGGGCGAGTAGTGGAACCTCCTTCCATATGAGAACTCATAGTACCTACGAATAATAAATGGCAAATAAATCAAATTCCCAAAATCACACACTATGTATATCTAGTGAGAGGCTCTTGATGCCAATTGTTGATTTATATGCCTATAGAAATCAGTTGATCTAAGTTGTAACAGTTAAGTTGTGGAAACAGTATTTAGTTACAACTGTAAATCTTGTGTTGGCACAGTTATACTCTACTTAAAGTAAATAAACAGAACACAAGAATTAATGTGGTTCAGACACAATTGTGCCCTACATCCACGTGGACCTGCAAACACGATTTCACTAGTTCAGATTTATAGTGTACATTAATAGGACTTAATAAAAACACTAAAGACTCCCTCTTTATGTAATATGCCGTTCTTGTACACAACTCGAACTTCGTGTTTCTTCTAACAGCAGCTCCACACCGCGTGCCTAGAACTCCTTTCTGGCCTGAACTCCCTTCAGTGACGCTGTTGATCTCCCAAGAGATCTATACAGCCAATCTGTATATGTTGACACATCCAACGATGGCACAGTTCTGTTCACCAGAACGTTTCAGCGATTCTTCAAAGCAACGGAGTAATTTTTCTCCCAACAAAAGTGTCACGGTCTTTGTGAGGTGAGGAGCCTTATATAGGCGTGAGATCGGCCTCCAAAGACCTGTCTTCCAAAGGAACCGAATAACTAGGAAACAGAATCCTAGTCAATATCTAGTTCTAATCTAGATAACTATAAAAGATTCCTAACAGGAGTAAAGTACAAGGAAATAAATCTAAGTCCTAAAGAATTACATAGGTAGGACTCTAAATTTCCAAAATAAACATGGGAACAAATCTTTAGCCAATCTTTACTTCCCAAGTGTGGCGGATTTCTTCCTTGGTGGAAATCTGGCGCCAACAATATTTATATTGCATATTTATATATATACCCTTATACTTTTAATATGTACACGTTTCCCCAAGTTCAGGTATCCCCATTTTTTAGACTTGCCGTTTTCCCGTATCCATTTCTTATTTTTACATATCGTCATTTCCGTGTCCGTGCTACATACTTATAAGTACTTTGTCTTTCTCAAAAACAATACTAGCAACAAGTACTAAATCCCTCTAAGAAACAAAAAAACAAAAAACAAGTACCAAATCACAATGTTTATTTTGTGCATGTATGAAATATTTATAGAAAAAACAAAAAATAAAATGTAAATATGTAAAGGTCTATTACAAATAAGCCCATCATAGGCTATTTATTCATAAAGATGTCGAGACAAAAAATTCTCTAACAAAAAAATCTAAACAATGCCCAAAGGTGTGTAAAAAACTAAAATACCCCTACACATTTTAATATGCTACAATTTCATCATTTAATTCAATTTGACCCCAAATTTCACCGATAATTCAATTTTGACCCATAACCAAATTTTGACTACAATTTCCATCGCCACCGTTGATTTTTTTTTTCCTTTTTTTCCTGTCTGTTTTTTTCCACCGCGGCGTTGACTTTTTTTATTTTTTTTCTGTCGGCTGGCGGCATTGACTTTTTTTCTTCTTCAACATTTCTTGTCCCGTTTAAACAGTAATATTGTTGCAATTGACAGTCATATTAACTATATTATTGTTTAACACAATAATATTGTTATATTACTCTATAATCAAAAACCACTATATTGTTACAGTCACTTTTTTTCTTTTTCCGCACAGTAATATTAACAAAAAAAAAATCATTATTATTGTGTAATAGAGTAGTATTAATATGTTGACCGTTCAACAAAGGCGAACATAATAAAAAGCCAAATGAATTAATATTAACCACAGGAAAAATTCGAAAACAGTCAAAGCTGGAAACCGGCGGCGGAAAAAGACAGAAAACAAAAAAATCAACGTCGGAAACCAGCGGAAAAAACAAAATCAAAAAATAAAAATTCGAAATATGATTTTTGTGGTCAAAATTAGTGAAATTGAAGTTAAACTAGGTTTACAATTAGGACTTATACATTAATTTTGCATTTATTTATAATACATTTTGAAGGGATGAGCTTATTTGTGAAAGGGATATAACCCCTGAACCTAGAATAATAAAAATGGTTCGTTAGAGACTTATGTATAAAAACCCATTGTTTTAAAGAAAAGAACAAAAAATTTAGTGAATATTTTTCAATTATAACGGGGTAATGGCAAATAGTGAATAATTCAATTAAAAAAGGGACATCTAACTTTTTGGTTTTGTAAATAAATCCACCGTACTCAAACTTATTTGCAGATAAGGAAAAATATATATATATATATATATATATATATATATATAGATATATATATATCTATATATGGATATAAATATATCTATGAATACATGCATATGTACATATGATTTTATGTGATTATGTGTAATCAATTAAATTATTGCAAGCATGTTATTTGGTTTAAATGCCAGCATGTTAATTGACTTAAATTCGGTTAAATTTATTAGCCTGTATGATGTATTTAATTTCACTGGAAGCTCAAAGGCACGCTATTAATTGATTTAATTTATCGTGCATGTACTTGTGTGTTTTAAAGTCGATAAAATCACGTAAAATTTTTGTTTTCCGCTGCGAACGCATGCCCGAAACCCGACAATAATTGTACATCATTAGTCCTTATGACCTAAACATCACCGTGACTTCACTAGAGGACCAGTTGTATCGTGACCTGTCCCTGAGTTCCACTGATGACCGCCCCAAGGGCCAGTGTTCGTGCAGTC